AGAACAAATTCGTGGTCGACTTGCATTATTTTTTTGCAGAGGAGCTCTGGTACTTTGGACCACCGGTTGCGGGACGAAATTCAGTACCTGCAGTGAGTGAACTGATGTATTAGTAGGGTCCTTGAGATATGAGTATGTTTGGGGCCCGGGATTGAGTAAGGCTCTCACATGTAATTCCGATGGCTCTCCGTTGTTTTTCCCCTTTATAACTGCGAGACGGTGGTGGCCATGTCTGGAGTGCCAGGAGTAACTTTCATCATCCTGGGTCCATTGTTTTGGTAATTTCGTGAACAGGAAAGACGACTGTTTGAGATTGTCAAAAGACCGCGACATCCAAGTGGATTTTGAATGAATCGCCATTCCCTTCGGTCGTTCGGATAACCTTCAGATCCATCCAGATCGTCCAACTGCGGGACAAGGATGAGGACGACCCTCTTATTTGCCCCCACCCGTGCTCTCAGTGGATCAGACAAATGCTGCACTCCTTCCTGCCATGACCTGTCAGGGAAGATTTTTGTTCTGCAGGAACTCAACCTGAAAAGATCACCAGAAAGGAGAACGTCCTCCAAGTCCTTTTCATCTTTCAGGGTCACCCGCAGCAGTCTGGGTTCCCGGGCATGTGGCGACGTCGGCTGGTGCATACGTCTTGTGAGGCTCATATGTAAAACACTAATGGCCATCTGCGTGCAGAAACCCTTCCAGTGTTTCAGCTCTTCTCCTCATCGTTTTCTCAGTGGTTGTACAGATAAATGCTGAGGCGGTTTTGCTTCCAAATCCCCGCTCCACTGGATATATCAGATTACGTTTGTGAGACGACATTTTGTTCTGCTCAGGAACTGTTACCGAACAATTCGTTACAATCATTTTAATATCAGGAGTTATGCATTGCGCTGGAACGGTGCCGATTAAAGAACGCATTGGGCGCTTAGTTATTCGCTGGTTTGGCCTCGCTCGGATTCTCTCAGACTCCAGGATGGTCATCTTTCCTTATCATATGGAATCTTTACATCATCTTTTTTTCCGCAGTTAATAGTAGCTTCTCAAACCTTTTTTCAATACCGATTATGTACTGTATGACCGGAGTTTTCATGCAATCACTGCAAAACCAAAAACAATCCTGATGTGCGACTTTCTGCTTCATCTTTGTATACGATAGTTTGGCGAATGCGATGTAAAAATATGTATAGCAGTGTGCACGCCATTCCCGTCTCGACATCTTTTCAACAGACCGTTGAGCCGCACACATCCAAACCTTGTGTGACTAAGAGCGTTGATTACCTTCGGCGACCCATTTTCAGTGCACTACGAACAGCGAGATGGGAGATTACTGACTAAGGTCAAGTGAAGCGAATTAAGTGTGGCCGAGTCAACCGAACTGAGGTGAGAAGTGTCCGTGCGCAAGACAATGACCGGGAGCAAACAGTGCATACCGATCGTTGCGACTGTAGATGGAGGGACGGACACACGCGCAGACGCGATGGAGAACGGAACAGATCTGAATAACACAAATTATATCCTAAGCTCTCTGAGAAACGACCATATAGACCTGAACAGATGGAGCGTAGAATCTTCTTCAAAACGATATCACAATGAAGATAACGCATGTAAACTACCAGCGTGAATAAGATGAAGAATTCGCTCCGAACAGCCGAACGGCGGAAAAGTGATATACGTAGAGTGTATACTCAACAGGTTGATACCACAATGTAGATCGCCAAACTGAGCCGAATGAGTGCTGACTCTACTTTGCGCTGCGAGCTTTGACACCGAAAATCCACGAATTGAGCGTCCACATGCGCGAGCCATCTACCGAGGCGTCCGGAGAATCTCGCTCATAATAGAGCATAGTCCGTGTTCACGGGTGTTGACCAGTAGGAGCGGCAGTCTTCAACGGATCGTCACCAGTGGCTGACGGCGATGTAGTCGAGTTGAGTCGAGCGCTGTGAAGAGGTTGGTGGTCTCCGTGAAAGGCACCGCCGTTTCTTGTACGCGAAGTTTGCGTTTGAAAGGAACAGTTCGTGGTTAGCACAAAGTTGGAGTAGGCGTTCTCCGTTGTCCGTCCGATTCGCTAGCATTGTATCTGTATCACGAAGAAGCCTTTCGGATTCGTCCAGGGATGCCACTAGAGCATGGAAGTCTCTAGTGACTAAAACGATGTCCGTGGGGCGATCACTTTGGATATGCAGATCGCAAAGTGTTGACGAAAAGCGTGTTTTGAAGACAGAGCATACATCCAAATGGAAGGTTTCAAGAGTTCTAACTGAGGCAGCTTGTTGAACAATCAAATAAAGTATGCGCAGATAAAATGCAAATGAGAATTCGGTTTCAATAATTTCTGTGTGGTTCACCTGAGTAGTTTAAGGCTGAGTGATATGGCATGGGTGGCGCAAACAGG